GCTGCCCTTGGCCGCCCTGCCCGCTCTCGGAATAAAACCTCTAAGCTGCTGCCTGGCACGACCGGGAGCTGGGCAGGAGATCTGTCCTTGGGCTTACCCAGCATGCCGATCCCGAGCATGAAGGCATCCATCCCGTAAGGCATGACTCGGGACCGCCCTCGTGCCGAGCCCGTTGGGGACATCACCTCCTTCGGCTGGGCTTTTTTACACTCCACCTGCCACAAGAAAGTAAGGATCAGGCTCAGCCGCCACCGGCACAGGGCGCTGCCACAGAGGTAGGCTGCCCGCCGTGACGGCACTCCCTAGCCCCGGCCACTGCCAGCAGCCCATCCTGCTGTCCTTCCCTTGCGTCCCTGCCTCTGGCCTGCATGCTGCCAGCCTTCCCTCTCGCTCTGCAGCCACCACAGGCAATGGGGAGCTCAGACACTGCTTTTCTCCTCCTGGTCTGCCCTTGACATTCTGCCTGGCCCTGCACCAGGGCCTTGAAGCCTAATTTTCCTCATTTCTGAATGAAGGTAAAACCTGCCCCCTTCCCAGGCCACCAAGAGGTTTCATGTAACTTTGAAACCTCGAAGTACTGCACAGTTCCTCGTTACAGTTAGCTCTTCTCCTTGAAAGCTCAGTATTGTCCTGGTTCACCTCCACACTGCGAGTTTCTTTCTCAGACTGGCTGCTGTGATTTTGGGGAAAAGACTCAATCCAATTCCCCACTGCAGAGAAAGTGCGTTGGGACCCCAGTGCCTCACACCCTGCCCCTGTGCCATTGCCCCCTTCTCCATCCCATGTCTCTGTCCCTTCTCCCCCAGGTTCTGCCTCAGACACTCACCATTTTGTTGTTGATCTCATGGAAGTGGATTTCACACACTTTTTCCACAATGTCTTCACTTTCAAATGTGACAAACCCAAAACCTGAAGAAAAGGCAAAACTCCTTGATCAGGTCAGAGCTCTGGACCATTTGCATGCACTACCCATGTCCTTTTATTGGCAGAAGAGAAGGACCCACAGGCTTCTAGGATGGTATAATCAGCCCTTTCTAAAACAGCTGTCACTCATCTTCCCTCTCCAGCAAATCCTGCTTTTATGCACAAGAAGAACAGGAGCATCCCCTTATAGATTCCCTTTTCCTCCTCATCCTGTACTTCCCACCCTCTCTGAACCCAACTGCTCTCAAAATGAAGTGTATTTTTTTTTAAACTTTGCTATTTGCAAGGCAAACCACATGGCTGATAATACTCGGGAGGATCCCAGCAGACAGACGCTCACACAAAGAAAGTCGGTGGAGAAATGAACAGCTGCTTGCCAGGACATCACCATCCTCGCTAAACGCACCCACCAGCAGTAACACCCTGCACGTTTCCTCTTCAGTCACCAGTCATAAAGCCTTGTATAAGCAGGCAAATATCAGCAAAGCGGTTGTACAGAGCAAGACAGATACACACGAGCAAAGCGATTTGTAAAGTTTCACCAAAGTAAGGTTAGTATCTGGGGTAAAACAGGACAGGATGTTCCTGGCCTCTGGCCCAAACTCACACCTCCTTTCTCTCACCAACCCCTTTGCTGACAGTTTTGGCAAAGACTAGCTCCGGTGGGCAGACTAAACTCCTCTCAGCTGACTGCAGCCGCTTCCGGAAAACTGAGGCAGGTGGGAGGATGTCTTTAAGCTTGCCTTACAAGAAAGCTGGGATTAAGCAGAGCCTTCCGCTTTCCAGAACTGGCCAATTCCATGGTGCTTTAAAATAACTTTTAAAAACAGACAGAGATCTGCTGCCCAGAACCCCAGTTTTTCTCCATACTGCCAGAAAACTCTCTCTCCATAAACTCCTTTGTCTGTCTGTGCCCAGGTAGTTACACACCATTCATCTCAACACCCACGAGCAGAGGGGCTCGGGAGTTCAAGAGCAAAACCCTGATGCCGAAACCAGTCCTGAGCCCCATCAGACCCCCACCAAGCCTGCTGCGCCCTGGACAGAGCCCCACGCTGCCGACACAGTGGCTAGCAGCCCTCCCTGCTCCTTCCGAAACGCCCGGCAACTCTTTAATTGGACTAGTGACTGGGGGGCATCCATGGAGGAACAGGGGTTAACACTTCTTCCTCTTTAAGATGAAGCTGGAACAACATCCTAGGCCAGGCAATCAGAGTAGATTTAATGGCTTTAGAAAAAAGAAGAAACCTGAAGGGCACACAGTGTAGCAAGAGCAGAAGGGAGCGTTCCCTCACTGATCCGGGGGCAGAGGTGCTTGGAAGTGGTTCAAACAACACACAGACACGAGAGTAGCCCAGCACAGGGCTGTTACTGGCCCTGATTTGGAAGACACCAAAGCTAAATTTGCAGGTTAAGTTGTGGCCAATAAATCTCTGAGCTGATGCAATGCTTGCTAGTGTCGAGCCCTGCCACGCTCCGGGGCAATCAGTCTGAAGACTCACTGGGAAAGCGGGAGGCAGGGACGCCCATGGGTGGGCTGGGTCCGGATAGCACAAATATTAGAGCCTTGCTCCCATCCTGTAACCAGACTCCACCAGCAAGACTCGGGTAAGAAAAGGTGACCTGGGAGCACAAGCGGGCTCCGGGCCGAGGAAGGGCGAGAGGCAGGCACTCTTCAGGCTCTCGTGTCAGCTTTCCCAGAGCTCAGATTACTCGGGACAAGGTAAGACACACACTGCGGGCTGGAGCCACGGAGGTAAGCGGGCAGGGGAGGGGGCCGCCTCCTCTCACATATCTGCAACTCGGCGAGTTTACAGCACAGGAAACGCACTGGACAAAAGCTCTCTGTGCTGCAAGGGACACTGGTAAAGGATGCAGATGCAAAAGGATGGGGCAACTGGAGGCAAGATAAAGAGCAGCTGCGACCCGCACGTCCTGCTGCTGGGATACTAACCCCTCCTCCCTACGCAAGGCAGGAGGCAAACCCTCCGCAGTTCCCTCTCCTACAGCCAGAAGACCGCTCTCACCTCGGTGTCGGTTGGTTGTCTTGTCGAACATCAGCATCGCGTCGTCCACCTGCAAAGAGAAGAGCTCCAGATGAGATTATTGCCATTGCCACGAGCATCCTCCAACACATTTGTGCAGAGCTTCCCAGGCCTCCCCAAACCAGAAGGGATCAAGATGAGACCTCCCATCCCCAAGAAGGAAACAG